CAGACAGAATTGCCTTCATCAAGGGCTTTCATTTTAAGAGCTTACAATGATCTGTTGCCCAAAAAAGCTAGCCTCATGGCTACTTAACTGCAGTGACCTTAACTTACACTTCACTTCACACCCTACTTGCAGGGTCACATTCCAGATGTTGTCAACATCTGAAACTGTTTGTTTCAGAAATTTAGAAATTCCACTATCCTTCATTACCACATTTTTTTTTTGAGAGGGCATCTCTCATATTTATTGATCAAATGGTTGTTAACAACAATAAAATTCAGTATAGGGGGTCAATGCTCAATGTACAATCATTAATCCATCTCAAGCCTAATTCTCATCAGTCTCCAATCTTCTGAAGCATAATGAACAAGTTCTTACATGGTGAACGAATTCTTACATAGTGAATAAATTCTTACATGGTGAACAGTACAAGGGCTTTCATCACAGAAACTTTCGGTTTTGATCACGCATTATGACCTATAAACAATCAGGTCAAATATGAATATTCGTTTGATTTTTGTACTTGATTTATATGTTGATCCCACATTTCTCCCTCTATTATTATTATTTTTATTTTTAATAAAATGCTGAAGTCATTACCACATTTTTATGCTCCTATCTCAGAGAGATTGGCCATTGTCTAATAATTGATTGTATTATCAATGTTTGCCTGACCTCTTTCTGTTTCCTATTCAGTCTGTATTCCATTTTTGATAATATGGATTGTTCTCTCACCTGTACCCTTGATTCCCTTCCACTCATGCTTCTGCTGCCTCAGCTCACAGAAACTCCCATCTCTACGTCAGTGACACAATCTTCATTCTCTGCTATTGGAACCAAGGAGCTGAATCCTGCTAGAGAGTCTCAAATACCTGAAAAATTTGATATCACCAGAAATTCATGGGGGTCAGCCTCTACTGAGCTCTCAGCTGGCCATTAAATCCTTTTATTTATTCTTGGTCACTCCTCTCTCCATCCTTATTTTCCTTTTTCTCATTTTGTATTTTGATACCAGACTTAATTGTAATTCTCTTAGGGACTTGACTTGAGCTGTTCTTTCTGTCTGTAATGCCTTTCTTCCCTCCTTTTCTCTCTTTACTTATTCAAATTTTATTCACAGTAAAATAACAGAACTCAATCTTAGATATTTATTGGCAACTTTGCAGGATCTCTTCTGGGCTGCTGTTTTGACCCTATTCCACTCATCAGTTTAACACCTTCTCCCATTTCTCACTCTGAGCTGGTAACCTTGTATTTTATTTTAGTGAGAAAATGGAAGCATCCAAATCTTGGTCCTTTTACTGCTGGATATATTAATCTTCCTGCATCTGTACTCAAGAATGCTCTCATCCTTCTTATTCCATTAGCTGAACTGTCACCATTCCTAGAGTTTGCACACTGAATTCTCTTTTGTTCTTTGCCTACTCATTATTCCTGGAATTATCTCCTCTCATCTGTATTACTTTCCCTGTTGGAGAAACATGCTATACAAACATTCAATAATATCTCTCGTTTTAAAAAACAAAACAAAACAAAACAAAAACCCTCCCTTACCCATGTGCCCTTCAAGCGACTATTTCCTTATCACTTGTTAAGGCAGAACTTCTCAAAAGAGTGGTCTAAACTCCTTGCCTCTGTTTCCTCACCACTATTTGCCGCTCCCCAGAGACCACTCTTTGACAAGGTTGTCAGTAACCACCATGTTGCTAAATCCAGTGATCAGTTCCCAGTTTTCCTCTTACTCAACCTCTCTGTGATATTCCTGTTTCAGGTTTTCTTTACTTGCTTTCTGGGAGGTACCACTCTTTGGATTTTTCTCCTGTCTTACTTGCTGCTCCTTTTAGGTCTCCTGTGCTGAATCTTCCTCCTCTGCCTGACTCAATGATGCTAACCAGATAGCTTGGTCTGAGAATCTCTTCTTTGCTCCATTTACACTCATTCTTGAGGTCCCTACTGTTCAATGCTATAGCCACTAGCTGTAGTCTTCTCATTGTAGAAAGTTCTGTTGGACAGCACTGTTCTGGGTTATTTCACCTATCTGGTCTCATTAAAAGAAATCTAGATGACATAAGTGAAGGGGGAAAAAATTAGTGAGATATATATCTTGATCTAGGTGATGGCTACATGAAGATATACACATGTCAAAATTCATTGAGCTATACACTAATATTTGTGTATTCTATTGTATGTGCCTCAATTAAAAAAATATTTTAAAAAATTTATTCAGCAGTTTGATTGCCCCCCTCCTAAATCCCAGTTTGGTATATCCAGTGTCTACTTAATATTCTTTGCTTGGTTTCTAAGACACCTGTCAAATGTAACATGGCTAAAACTGAACTTTATTTTCCCTCCCACTGTGCTTTTCTGTATGTCTTCCCTATCAGTAAACAGTGCTACTCTTCACACAGGCTTAAAAAACCTTGTGGTCTTTTTTTTTGGCAGGGGGAATGGGGAATGGCAGGCAAGAAGACTTCCATTCTTGGATTGAGGGGCAGATGGGGGAAGAAGACTTCCATTCTTAAGGAGAAACACTTGCAAGGGAACACTTCTATTATTTCTACACCCTCAGTCTCTGAGAAGCAGGAGTGAATGACTTTGCTTATTCTATGTAGTAATTTTTAACTTCTCTTTTTCTCTTGTACTCAATGTCTAATGCATCAAACTTACACTAATCTCCAAGCCCTGGACTACTCTTTTCTCAGATACTCACATGTCCCATTTCCATCATTCAGGTTTTCACTCAGATGTTACCTCTTGAGACATTCTTTGTCCATGCTATCTAAAGTATCATTCCTGTCACTCTGTACCCCTTGTGCTGTTACGTAGCACTTAGCAGTGTCTGACATTACAATGTGTTTGTTTTTTGTCTTTCTCTATGCCACTGGAATCCATGAGGGTAGGGATTTTGTTTTTTCTCTATACCCAGTGCCAAAAATATGAGATGGTACATAGTAAGTGTTCAATAAACATTTGTTGAATTAAATGTCATATTAATGAAATGTCTAATGACATGAAACTAGGAGGTGTAGCTAAAACATTTAGGTCAGCTTTTTGCCTTTTGTTTTGGCCATTCATATTTATATTCTTCCAGTCACTGCATTACAGAAAGTGAAACTTTTTTCCTGAGGAGGTTTTTTGTATGATATAGGCATTTTGTTATTATGTTTTTCACTTATGGTAAATTTTGAGAAAACGCAAATCCTAATATTGTTTAGAACAAGTTTTATTTATTATGATATTATAACAATAATTGTATTTGAAGTTCAAAATTATAGTAATAATGATGATTTTTAAATTTGGCATTATAGCTATAGAGTACAAAAGTAGTAAGACAGGCTCCCTGATTTAAGGAACTCATGACCTAGGGGTAAGACAGTCATGTAGATACATAACTACAGGGTGTCCATTTAGTTTGGAAACAGAAACAAATACACATATGCCCTAAGGAGTCTTCAGTCTATTAAAAATTATATATATTTCTGGACTTTATGGACAGTCAGTATAATATAAGGTGATAAAAATTAGAATACAACTGTGTATAAAAAGTATGGCAGAGGAAAGAAGGGCTCAGCTGATTGTGCTGGCAGATAGAATTATGATCTTGGATAGAGTGAAACTCCATGGATATCCAGGCTGGGCATTGCAAATACAGACATAAAGAAGCCTCGTCAGTTTAAGAGCATTAGAGAAATCCCTCAAGATGGCCTAGATATGTCGCCTCAGTAAGAGAAAAAAACAGATGGATCCTGTTATCTGTCAGCTTTCACTTCTAATGCCCATGCTGAGTTAGCTGGAATCTTTGTAGCACCTCAAGATACATGGCTCAACCCTGTAGTAGTCTAAGATAGAGGGTGCTAGTAGTCAGAGCAGTTAAGATAATACTATATTTATGCTCATAATTGATTCCATGATTTTAAGTTAAAAATAGATGTATCATTTTGATTAGTTCAGGAGGCAGCAGGAACAGGTATGGAGGATGTATAGAGACTCCATTCCAGGGCCATTCCATTGGGTTGAACAGTTAATGCACTGGCCACTGGTGCTCAGCCAGCGAAGTAGGCTAGTGGCACTGAAATCTAGCCAGTACTTTGATGACTGTGTGCCTGATGTGGGGTTGCACAAGCCTGGTAAGAGGTGTTTTTTGCTAATTCATGCAAAATCCAGTGTAGTCTCACTGCAGCTGCCCCATTTCCTGTCTTCTTTATCCTCTGCCTAGGATATTGTGGCATAAGAACTGTTTCCAATCTGAAAGGAATTCAAGACAGTTCTCTATATTTGAGCATTTTGAAGCAAAGATCATTCTGATTTAAAAACTTGTAGTTCAAAAGAAACCTTTATGTTTGCCTTATAACTATAATAAGGAAATATTTTTCATGCCTCTGCTTTGTGTAAACTACAGAGAAGGGGAAAACAGCTAACTAAAGAGAAGCATCTTGTTGCCATCCCAGACATAGGAATTTATCCTTTAGGCATTCTACAAATAGCCTTCATTTTATTGTACACAAAAAATTAATTCATTTAAAAAAATTCAAGAAAAATATGAAATTTGGTGCTAGTTTATTCATCGTTTGGTTTTAGTATTTTCTGAGTTCTCACATATCCTCAAATAGATATCCGTTTATTCCCACAGGAGGGTAATAACCCAGCTGCCCCATAGTATGTAGATGATACTCCAGTGCCTCCTAGAGTCCCGTTAAAAAGACTGGTATGGTCTGATCCTCCTTCTTTTGTAGTTAACTGATGAGTTACCTGGAAGTTTTAAGTTAGGATTTGGGAGAGGAAGGATAGGGAGCCACCATCAAGTTGTCTTTGTTCAGATCAAATATGTTCCAAGACTCCTTCTCTCAACACTGTACTTGAGGCTATTTTTTTTAGCACACTCTTGAAGTTCAAAACATTCATACATCAAACGTTAAGACTGGCTACTGGTTTTCATGTCAGAACTTTATTTAAATTAGTTGTGTTTTACTATTTCCACTAATATGTTTGTTTTTCTTTTGTAGGTGAAGCTTTATTCTAAGAATATTTGTTTCTTCCAGTTTATGAGCTCAAAGTATAAAGAGTATAAATGTCAGAGAAGTGTTGAAAGATTGGTAAGTATTTAATGTAATAGGTATTAGAAGACAAAATACTTGGTTCAGTCCAAGGTTTTACAACTTCATAATTATGTGACATTAATTAAATCCCAAAGTAAAAACAACTAAAGTTTCCATTAGTAGAGATGGATATATAAATTATGTTTTATTCATACAGTGGCATATTGCACAGTGGTTTAAAGGAATGAACATCATGTTGGAGGGAAAAGCAAAGTTACAAAAGAATACATGTATACTATTTATAAAATGTTTAAAAATAATTAAAACAATGCTGAATATTTTTATGGCTATAAGTATTTTAAAAATTATAAAAATGTGTACAGAAATGATAAACACCAACTAGGGAGGGGAAAGAGGTAGTGGTAGGGTATGGCTCTCCTATACTGTAGGGTATGATTTATTTACACACACACACATACAGGCACATGAACTGACTTGAATATAGTATAATGTTAATACTTGCTAGATCTGAATTTTGGCTATAAACTCATGTTATATATTCTTTGTACTTTTCTAGGTATTTGAAATATTTTTAAAAATCTTTAAAAAATACCAGACATTCATCTTTTCAGTTGGCAGTTAGAATGGTTGAAAGGCATTCAATTAAATTCCTTAATTAAAATATTTTTATTTTTATTTTGATATCATTAATGTACAATTACTGGAACAACATTATGGTTACTAGACTCCCCCTATTATCAAGTCCCTCCCACATACCTCATTACAGTCACTGTCCATCAGTGTAGTAAGATGCTATAAAATCATCACTTGTCTTCTCTGTATATACTGCCTTCCCCATGTCCCCACCCGCCTACATTATGTGTGCTAATCATAATGCCCAGTTTTTCCCCTTATCCCTCCCTTCTCACCCATCCTCACCAGTCCCTTTCCCTTTGGTAACTGTTAGTCCATTCTCAGGTTCTGTGAGTGTACTGCTGTTTTGTTCCTTCAGTTTTTTCTTTGTTGTTATACTCCACAGATGAGTGAAATCATTTGATACTTGTCTTTCGCCACCTGGCTTATTTCATTGAGCATAATACCCTCTAGCTCCATCCATGTTGTTGCAAATGGTAGGATTTGTTTTCTTCTTATGGCTGAATAATATTCCATTGTGTATATGTACCACATCTTCTTTATCCATTCATCTACTGATGGACACTTAGGTTGCTTCCATTTCTTGGCTATTGTAAATAGTGCTGCAATAAACATAGGAGTGAAAATATTTTTATTTTAATTAATTAAAAAATTAATGTGCCAAGGGAAAGTCCCCCTTATCACCCCTACCAATGTTGTTTTGTTAGTGCTAACTAATGCACTTAGAAGAGTGGAAGGTGTGTGAATATTGGATAGGAGAATTCAGAATTTTTGTTATGTGTAGATGTTAGGGTTTTATATCTGGAAATCCCAAGAAAATCAGTAAGAGTTCAGTAAGAAGTTTGGATATACAATTACTATAGTAAAATAAATCTTCCTATACATCTTCTATTTACCATTCTTCTATCCTAGATAGATTATATAATAGGAGACAAAATCCCATTCAGAATAATGGCAGAAACTATCAGACACCTTAGCATAAAGCTAACAAATGTGTGAAACTTATTATATGAAGTTAACAATTTCTACTTCAAGGAAATAATAGGATAGATGTGCATGTAGTGTAAAGATGTTTATTGCAACTTTGTTTATGATAATAAAAACTGGAAATAACCAAAATATTCAATGAAAGATTGGCTACATAGTGACAGTACATCTGTGTAAAGGAATATATGTGATAAATACATGCTCAAGAGTGCTATGTAGCTATCAAAGAGAGTGGGAGAGAGCTCATGTGAAAGGATTTCCAAAATACCTCTCTGAATCAAAGCAGATAATAGATATAATGTTTACTTTATGTGTATATTTTATGTACTATGTATATATTTTATGTACATTTTAAAATGAGAACATATTTCTGCATATATTATAATGCTTTTTATTGACTCGACATCTTGTGCTTTCAGAAAGTGGGATTAAAATTATTTCCTCATTAATTGTCATACATAAAAATTCATGTTAATTTCCACTATCTTAGTTTCTAGATGATAGGCCGTAATTATTACCACAGTCTTTTAGTTTTTCACATTTTTAATATCTAGAAGTTGCAGCATGCCTTGCAATTAATGATATCTTATAAGCATTGTCAGTAGGCTGTACTTGTGAAGGAGCTGTTGTAGCCTGCTCATGAATGACCTTGGTCAAAGCTCTTCACTCACATCAGTACTTCAGGCTAGTTAAATGCCTTGTTGATACTCTATCTGATGCGTTTTAAATGTTTCCTGGTTATTATATGAAACTTTCTGCTGATTCCATCTAGTAAGATCAAGAAAGTACCAGCATCAAAATTTATAGAATGATGTGAGCATCTTTGGAAGAAAATCCCAAGAACAGTAATGTAGCACTCTTAAGAAATCTTGCATAGTAAATGGTGCTGATGACCCAGAAGGTGATACTGTATGGAAAATTCTAAGTGATAAGAAGCATTGTGTTATGATTTAATTGGCAGTGTTTTTTCTTTTTTAGTTGTACACTAAATAATTATGTATCTTAAAATCAGTGACAGATTAGGTGAAATAAGTTAATAAAGTTGGATAAATATGGACTGAATGTAAATTAGATTATTTGACTCAAACATTTTTACGGAATGAAAGCTTGTAAAGAACCAGTATTATATATATGTTAGAGGTTATTGCTGCATTTGGGGATAATGAATGATGTACATTTTATTTTTTAAAATACTTTTCTGTCTTCCTAATGTTCAGTAATATTAAAAATAATGGTATTTGTTATACTGAAGAAGGAACTGTTTATGTAACAATACCTAGAATTCTGATGGGAATTCAAGAGTAAAACCATCAGGCTCCAGAATGAACAGGAACCAAAGCAGTATTAGAAGTTTCTGTGGTCTCTCCCTTCCGTATTTACCTGCTTCTCTTTGCCTCCTGTTGGTTCATATTTATCAGTTGGCTTCTTCTGAGTTGTACTACTTTATGACGACTACCACAGGCCCATCTGTGCGACTTTTCACCACATTATGTCCTTTAATTCAAATTGCTAAGAAAGAGAAACAACCTGATTGACCCAATGTCACTTCATCATAGAAGTCACACCTTGCAACCGGGGTGTTGGCTGCTCCTGAATGGGGCATACTTCAGTTTCACTAGGGCCTAGACGCTGGCTGTGCCTCCTAGCAGTAGACATAGTCACATGGCCCAGCGCCTTCTCAGCAGGGACTGCACACAGGGCTTCTCCCCAAGTGGGTGAAGAAAAGACTCTGCAATACATCTTATCTAATTTAACCTCTCCAGGTTAAAAGTTTGTGAAGGTTACTGGATGTCTCAGAATTACTTATATCCCTAAAATGAAACTACTTTGAAATTCTTAGGGGATTTTGTTATTAATGATTCTTTTCTGAATATTTATACGTTTTTTCTTTATATTGTTGCTTACCATGCTCTTTTGTCCGCTTTACCTCACTGTTTTCCTTAATCTTACAATGGCACATTGCCGTTTGTTTGATTCAGATATGTAGTAAAAAGTAAAGTGGCATAACTTCAACTGGTAGAATTTTCTGATTTCTGTTCACCTGGTGGTAAATCCTCCATGCACCCACCCCTGGTGTTCACACTCAACTCTGGTGTTTGGGGAGGGTGGGTCAGTGATTGTTGGTTTTACCAGGTAAAAAACAGTTAATATTTTTAAAATATCCATTTATCTTTTAAAACATGTAAAACAAGAAAATTTTATAAGTAATGGCCTTACTTTTAGTCTTCGGTCAGGCTATATAAGGGAGAAAATAAGGATCTACTTAACTCTAACTACTCGCTAATAACTTCTACCTAAGTGTTTCACTCAATGTTCTTGGTTATGCTTAGGCATTTCACACCCAGAGCTTATTGCTGCCATGAAGGAATATTTAAGGAGCACCTGTGTAGGTCAGAATTATGTCTGAAAATATTACAGGATTAAGTACCAGTGCCCAATAATTTAAAGTCAGTCTTTGGTTGAAAACAAACAATAAAAACACATACTTTTAAATGGAAATTTTTGTTTTTCTAATCTTTTTTGTAATATTTGTGTTACAGCTCGGTCATGAGCACTGACAGTAACTCCTTGGCACGTGAATTTCTTACTGATGTCAACCGGCTTTGCAATGCAGTGGTCCAGAGGGTGGAGGCCAAGGAAGAGGAAGAGGAGGAGACACACATGACGACCCTTGGACAATACCTTGTCCATGGCCGAGGATTTCTGTTACTTACCAAGCTAAATTCTATCATTGATCAGGTAACATTTTCATATCCCATAATTTTTTCCATCACTATATTATAGTTAATTGTAGATATATGATATCTGGGTTACATGGTTTCTGAGAATCTCTTTGAGATAAATTTCTATCACATCACTCCAGCAAAGAAAATTAGCCCCATTTATGAACATATTGTTTATCTGGATATTTTATTTATAATTCCAAGAATAACTTATAATTCTAAGATATTTCAGTAACTGGCCTCTCTTCTAAAATGGCTACATGGATTCTATGCCTTTTATCATAGTTATCAGTGTGAGATAATTATGATTTATTAGTAGAAGTATTACAATTCAGAAGCATGATGAATTTGCACTTTCAGTAAACATCAGATACATTTTTGAAAAGTTTAGCGTAAATTATCTTTAGAGAGTTTAGTAATTCTGGGGTTAAATTAGGAGCCTTTGTATAAACTAATAACTACTGAGTCCTTTAGCTTACATACATCTAGTTTTTTGTACATTATTGTGTTTGCTTAAAGTGTGGTATGACCACATGATATTTTGCTGTTTTCTTAGTATAGAATTAACAGAATTTTAAAATTAGTTGGGACTGTAGGATTTTTCGTTCAGTCTCCTTTTTGTAGATGAAAAACTGAATGGCAGAAACATTAAGAAACTCAGACAAGGTTAACTTGAAGCCCAGATGTGATTTATATCTTTATTTCATTTTACTAAAAAGCAAATTTTATTTTATGAAAGAAAAACTCCACCATCTGCTTTCAGAGGACCAATTAATATAGGTAGATACTAATATTTTAATTAACATAAATTAAAAAGATAATTTCTCTGCAGCACCAGACACTTTTAAACACTTTAAATGTTATGCCTTAGATGTAAACTTAAACTTAGCCATTGTTAAATAAAATTACTTTGCTACGAAAGCATTTTCCTAATAAATACATACATTGAGTAAATAAGAAACTAAAATTACTGTAAGGTAAAGAACCTAACAGATATAAACTAGGAAGTAATTGTTCACTGTGGTGTCTGCCTGTCATGGAATTTTCCAGAATATTTGCAGGTTTATATATTTTTATTTTTCATAAATGTGAGATATTAAATGTATGACTAAAATGTAATTTAATTTTTATATATTTGTGTAGCTTTCTATAAATAAATTTTAAAATCAGAAAAATTCTTTGTTACACCATGTGTAGTGATTTTTTTATTTCAAAATTTTAATGATTTAATATGCATATATGCGTATCGTGCTCTGTTCATCTTCTTAGCCCACATTAAAACAATTCATTGCTTTCTCTTTTTTTAAGATATTATATAAATGGCATTAAAAATGCCAAGTAACTTGGAATAAATCTAATAAAATATGTACCAACTTCTGTATAGAATTCTGTAAGGCACTGTTGAGAGAAACTGAAGAAGACCCAGATAAATGCAAAACTGCATAATTTTCATGTATTGGAAAAATCAGTATTGTAAAGAGAGCTGTTTTCTCCAAACTGATCTATAGATTCCAACACAGTCCCAATCAAAATCTCCATTGCTTTACTTTTATGACAGCTGTATTGAAATATAATTCACATGTCATAGAATTCATCCATTTCATATGTGTCTGTGTGTAAGTCAGAGGTTTTTAGTGTAGCCACAGATATGTGCAGCCATCACCACAGTCAATTTTAGAACATTTCTGTCACCTCAAATAGAAACCTTGCACCTTTTAGCTGTTACTCCCCTATCCCTCCCATCCTCCATGGCCCTTAGTAAACTCTAATCTACTTTCTGTCTCTATAGACTTTATGATTTCTCTTTTAAGTCATGAAATATCTTTTAATGTTTTGGTAAGTGACTGAAATCATTCCAGTCATAATTATAACAATATTTTTTCCTGTGGTAAGATGTAAGCTCTTTTTTCTGTAGTTACTCACTTTTTTAGAATATCTGTAGCAATGATAGTAGGAACAGTAGAAATAGAATGAATACTAGGGCTTATAAACATTTAAATGTTTAATCTAGGAAATAGAAAATGATCACTTGGATCTTTAAGGGGAATTTAATTGCACAAGTTTCATTATTTAAGATGGTATCCAAAACACTAGATTCAAAACTGTATGTTTCAGAAGGAATTTTCACTTTTATATCTGTGCTTCTCATGAGTAGCACTAATGTGAAAGCCCTTGCCCTTCACTGCAGACCTTTTGTGGAAGGACTTTATTAATCAATATTTATTAATAGATACTTAAAGAATTAAACAGACCCATATTGATATATGATTTAGATATAGTAAGTGCACAAATGTTAAGTGTATAGTTGGATGAGTTTTGACAAATACATACTTTTGTAACCATCACCTAGATCAATGTTTAGAACATATTCACCCCCCTAGAAAGTTCTATCATATCCCTTTTCAGTTAGCCCTTGCCCTTCCCCCACCACAAGATAACCATTATTCTGATTTCTAACATCTACCTGTAGTTTGTTCCAGAACTTCATGTAAATGGAATCATGCCATATGTACTATTGTGTCTCAGAGATTCATTGGCGTTGTGTGAATTGGTAGTTCACTCCTTTTTGTTTCTGGTTAATATTTTGTTGTACTGATATACCACTGTTTATCCATTCACCTGTTGTTTAACCATTTGGATTTGTTTTCATCTGGCTATTATGAATAAAGCTGCTGTGAACATTTTTATAAAAGTCTTTGTGTGAATATATTTTCATTTCTCCTGGGTAAATATCTAGGTATACAAATGCTAGGTCATAGGGTAGGTGTTTATAAGAAACTGCCAAACTGGTTTTTAAAGTGGTTGGGCGTACCACTTTTAATTCTCATCAACAGTATATGAGAATTTTAGTTCTTCTAAATTCTAATATTTGACATTGCCAGTCTTTTTAGTATTAGCTATTGTAAGTGAATATGAAATAGTAGTTCATTGTGATTTTAATTTGCATTTCTCTGACAACTAATGATGTTGAGCACTTTTTAAAAATGTGCTTATTGGCCATTTATATATTCTATGCATGTTCAAGTTTTGCTCCCATTTTTAAAGTTCAATTTTTTGTTTATTATCCAATTGTAGTAGTTCCTTATGTATTCTGAATAAAAGTCTTTGTGGATTGTGAATATTTTCTTTGTGGCTGACCTTTTTATTTCTTGACAATGTCTGTAGAAGAGCATATTTTTTTCTTTTGTGAATAGTGCTTTTTGTATCCTAAGAGATCTTTGTCTTGCAACCCCAAAGTTGCAAAGATTTTCTCTTGGGTTTTTTCTAGGAGTTTTTTAGTTACTATTTTTACTTTTAGGTCTGGGACCCATTTTGAGTTATTTGTATATGGTGTGAGGTAGGAGTTAAGGTTTCTTTCAGCCCCCCTCCCTGTATAGTTAATTACCTAGTTGTTCCAGCAATGTTTTTTCTTAAAAGTCTGCTCTTTCATCACTGAATAACCTTGGTGCCTTTCTTGAAAATCAGTTAACCATATATATTTATGGGTTTATTTCTAGATTCTCTGTTCTGATCCACTTATCTGTCATCTGTTCTTTCACTAATACCATAGTCTTTTGATTACTGTGGCTTTTATAGTAAGTCTGGAAATTAGGTGGTGTTAGTTCTCCAATGTGTTCTTCATTTTCAAGAATGTTTGACTATTATTCAAGATCCTTTGCATTTCTATATAAATTTTAGAATCAGTTTATTTCTACAAAAAGGCAAGGATTTCAGTTGTGATGGCATTGAATCCAGTAATCAACTTGGAGAGAATTGACAGTAAAATGGTTTCTCAGTCCATGAGCATGGTATAAATCTCTGTTTGTGTCTTCTCTCATTTCCCTGAAATATTTTGTGGTTTTCAGTGTAGAAGTCTTGCATATCTTTTGGTTAAATTTATTCTAAATAACTGTTTTTGATGCTATTGTAAACAGAATTTAAAATTTCTATTTTCTGTTGTTTCTTGCTCAGAAATACAATTAATTTTTATATGTTGACCAGTTGTCCTGTGCCTTTGATAAATTAATTTATATTTATTTTGAAAAATTTCTGTAGATTCCTTAGGATTTTCTATGTACACAATCATGTCATCAGTGAGTAATGATAATTTCACTTATTTTCCAGTGTCTTACCTTTTTATTTAATTTTCTTGCCTTTTTGTGCTGGCTTCAAGTACAAAGGTGGATAGAAGTAATGAGAGTGGCCATCTTGCCTTGTGTTTGACCTTTGGGGGAAAGTATTCAGTATTTCACCTTTAAATGTGATGTCACCTCTAGGTTTTTCTTAGGTTCCTTTTATCGGAATGAGGACGTTGTCTTCTATTCTCATTTTTTTGAGAATTTTTATCCTGAAGGGAATAGGATTTTGTCACATGCCTCCTCTGAATCTACTGAAATATTATATTATTCTTTCTTTTTATTCTGTTAATGTGGGTGAATTACACTGATGATTTCTAAATGTTGAACCAACTTTGCATTCCTATAAGCCCCATTCAGTCATGATTTCTTATACACAGACATGCTAATATATTTATTCTTAGGGAAAAACTGTCTGCTAAATTAGCAAAAATGTATTCTTTTTAATGGTTAAAGTTGGCAGTTGAAGCCTATACACTGATCTCTCAGTTTTTGATACTTTGCCCAGCCTGAAAAGTAACAATTATCCTTGATTTTGATCTTGACACCAGTATGAACTAGATGGGTTGCTTTAGTTAGTGACTTAATTGCTCCAGATCTCAGTATCCTCATCAGTAACATAAATACATCTACTTGAGTGACTTAAAAGATCTCTTCCAGCATAAAAATTTTTGTTTCTGTGTAATATTTGATAGTAAGGTTTCACATTTCTTCTATACCCTGATTATGAATACATATAGCTTAATTATGATGTAATGAGTAGAAAATTATAATTTGTTACCAACACAATATAGCAAAATTGAACTAGTATCACAACCATGTGTTATAAATATGTTTTAAAAATTCAATATGTATAATTTCCATATTTGTCCACACTGTGTTTTATAAGGTTACTTATTTT